AAGCCGGAAGTAACGCTGTGGCTCAAGTGGTAGAGCACTTGCCTTGAGCTGAAGAGCTGAGGGACAGCACCCAGGCCCAGAGTTCAGGCCCCACAACCAGACCCAAAAACAAACACCAAAAAAAAAACAAAGAAGCTCAGGGACAATACCCCAGCTCAGGCCCTAAGTTCAAGCCCCAGGACTGGTAAAAAAGAAAGTAATGTTTAGGGGGAAAGAAATGACTGGAAGACAGTGTCTCTCAGTCCCCCCTCCCCCTTTTTTTCTTTTTGTCAGTTCTGGGGTTTGAACTCTGGGCCTGGGCGCTGTCCCTCAGCTCTTCAGTTCAAAGCTAGCGCTCTACCACTTGAGTCACAGCACCACTTCCTGCTTGCTGCGTGGTTTATTAGATGTTAAGTCTCACAGACTTTCCTGCCCTGTCTGGCTTTGAACCATGATCCTTGGATCTCAGCCTGAGTAGCTAGGATTACAGCTGTGAGTCACCTGCACCAGGCTGTCTGTCCCTTTGTATCCTCACATTTCAGTGGGCTTTGTACAGAGTCCCTTCCAGGATGTGCTGGCTGGACACGGACCCTACTCTTGCCCCAGGCTGCTGGTACTGGCAGGTCTCAGGACTGAGTCACTGGCAGACATATGCTGTTTTCTCTCTTAATCTCTGCAAGTTTTCTTTTTGTGTGACTCATGGATGGCAGAGCAGGATGAAGCAAGCTGCCCTCCTGGGGAAGAGAAGCTGCTGCACACACACACACACACACACGGGAGGGAGACATTCCACACACATGGAGACATCAGCATCTTCAAAAAAAAAAACAGCCAGGTGTGGTAGTGCACTTCTGTAATCCCAGCACTCATAAGGTGGAGGCAGAAAGATCTGGAGTTTCAGGTCTGTCTGGACTACATATCCAGACCCTATTTAAAAAAAATAAATGCAACACAGGAATGAGACTGAATGGGACCTTGTCTCTTCTCTGAGAGTCCTCCATAGCTCATGCTTCACTCAAGGTAAATGAGTCCAGTGTGTAGGTTTGGATAACATGTTGTGTGTGTGTATATATGTACTTGCCCACATATGGCTGGCCTACCACTTGATCCACAACTCCATCTAGCTTTCTACTTGTTAACTGGAGATAAGACTCTCATGAACTTTTCTTCCTGGGCTGGCTTTCAACTGTGATCCTCAGATCTCAGCCTCCTTAGTAGCTGGAATTACAGGTGTGAGCCACCAGTGCAGGGCTATAGTTTTTCTTCATGAATTGGAACACAGCAAAACAGAAAATAGTACATCTCAGTAATTATCTAGTGAAACTTTATTCCAGTGAGATATGCATACACATCACCATGCACAACTTAATGTTACACATTACATGACACATACCATCTGATCCTATACTATGACTCATGGTGCATGAATTATGTAATGCTCTCAAGGGAGTGCCAGTGAGCTTTTATAAAAAGGTTTACAATGGGTTAATTAGACTTCTTTATTGGGATGGAGACAGAGTTGTGTGCCATGGCTGCTGGCAGCTCTAGAGGACCCAAGGGAGGGGGACATTGGCGGGGGCGTGGCTAACACACAGTGTGGTTGTGACACAGGCCTCAGGGGTCCCATGGGGGGCTGGAGACATGCTATAATCCTGCAGAATTGTGACAGCTGAAGCAGGTGGGCTGGCCTTTGTCAGCCCCTCACCGCCTCTCTGCCCTGTTTCTGACTCGGTCTACAAGGCCTCCATAGATATGAAAAAATGAGTGAACATGACTGTTTCAATAAATCTTTATTGACAGTGAACAACCGGCCCCGGACCTTAAATTGTGAATCCCTGCCCCATGCTAATGGCCAGGCTTTTTGGTGGTACTGGGGATTGAACTCAGGGCCTTGCACATACTAGTCGAGTATTATGTTTTGTTTTGTTTTTTTCCAATCCAGAGACTTAAACTCAGGGCCTGGGCACTGTCCCTGAGCTTTTGATCAAGGTTAATGCTCTCTATCACTTGAGCCACATTGCTACTCCAGGCTTTTTCTGACTTGTTTATTGGAGATTGGAGTCTCCTTGGACTTTCCTGCCTGAGCTGGTATGGAATCACCCTCCTCAAATATCCATCTCCTGAGTAGCTAGGATTACAGGGGTGAACTTCCTCCTCCTCCTCTTTTCTTCCTCCTCCTCTTTTCTTTCTTCCTCCTCCTCCCTCCTCTTCCTCCTCTCCCTCCTCCTCTTCTTTTGTGCCAGTCCTATAGCTTGCATTTAGGGCCTAGGTGCTGTCCCTCCCTAAGCTTTTTTGCTCAAGGCTAGCGCTCTACCACTTGAGCCACAGCTCCACTTCTGACTCTTTTGTGGTTAATTGAAGAGTCTAATGGCCTTTCCTGCCTGGTCTGGCTTCAAACCATGATCCTCAGATCGCAGCTTCCTGAGTAGTTAGGATTACAAACATAACTACTGATGCCTGGTTCTAGGCACTCTCAGCTTTAATGAACATTTTTTGAGACAAACTTTTAGTCTAGCCTCTGCCTCCTGAAGAGCTAGGATTATAGGCGTTCATCACCATGCCTGGTCTGGATCCTTTTGTTCTGGGAATATAACCTTTCTTTTTCTCTGCGGCTGCCTTCAGGGCCCATGTGGAACTTCCGTTCCTTTCTGGTTGCCAGTAACCATCCCATGCCCTCAGCACCCGGATGTGGGATTAGTTCGTGACCTGGAATGTCAGACAGTGACAGTAGCACAGCTCAACAGGGCCTGGGGGAGAGGGAGGGAAGGGGAGGCTGGGACACTGGCTGTACTTGTATGAGCTGGCATAAACATTCCTGAATCATTCAGGAGGAGGAAGGGAGGCCCTACCCCTTCTACCTGAATAAGGTGTGGCAGGTGACACTGAGAACAAGCGTTTGTGTGTGCAATTGTCCCCCACTTGGCTGGGTTTCCAGCCAGACACTGAATGGGGGTAGGGCACACAGTGGACCATGCAGCGTGACTTCCTCCATGTAGAGAATAGATAGGCATCTAAGGTAGACTTTTTTTTTTTTTTTTGGTTGTGGGGCTTGAACTCTGGGCCTGGGCGCTGTCCCTCAGCTCTTCAGCTCAAGGTGAGCGCTCTACCACTTGAACTACAGCGCCACTTCCAGTTTTCTGGTGGTTTATTGGAGACAGGAGTCTCACAGTCTCTCCTGCCCGGGCTGGCTTTGAACCGCGATCCTCAGCTCTTAGCCTCCTGAGTAGCTAGGATTACAGGCGTGAGCCACCAGCGCCCGGCCCAAGGTGGACTTTTTAAAGACAGGAATAAAGAAGGCAGCAACCTGGACAAGAAACTTTGTTCACAGATTTATTTCACGCCTCTCACACAACACGGTAGCTGGTAGGAGACCAGAGCAACCAGGCACATGCTCTGGCCCCTTGCGTTTTGGGGACAGGCTTCCGCCTCCACACCTGTGAGGACTGGCCACCTGTGCGACACGTGGCTGCTTCTGAAGGCTGTTGTCCCCCACCATTCCCAGGGCCAGGAGCTGGGCTTCAGGCCCGCATGCCACCTCTGCTCTTCCCTGCCTGGGTAAGCAAGTGACTTTGCTTCTCTGTGCCTCCGTTTCCTGGAGGCGATTATGGTGCATGGGGGGGGCGGTTACAGAGCTCTTAGAACAGTGTGGCGCAGGCATCTGACCTGCTTTCATTGTGACCTTGCACTGATGGGCTGAGCCCAGCACCACGGGGGTCCCCCAATGTGGGTTACAATGGGTAGGGGCATGGAGTCTCCCCTTAAGCTCCTCCTTTTATCCTGCTAGGCCATGCCAAGTTCCGAAGCTCCTCCCTCCACAGCAGCTTCCCTGCTCCCAGAGGAGCACTCGCCCCTCTGCCTGCATCTGTGGCTCCCTGAAATTTGGACTTTGTTGATTGGATGCGGGGATCTTTCTGCTGCTCCCCACTTCCCATGCATCCGGGTCTCTAGCAGAGACACGCCCTATTTTCCTGTCTCATCTACCTCACTCCCTGGGCCTTGGGTCCCTTTTGGACTGAGGTGATCCCCCTGGGACTGTTTCCCAACGTGGGAAAGAACTCCCAGGATAGCTCTCTGTCCTTCCCACCAGCTTTCCTGGCTCTGCTCTGGGTTTCCACGTGCTCTGGACCCGCGTTCAGGTCCCCAGATGTGTCCTTCACGTGCCTTCCTCACTCTTGGGCCGCTTTGCTTTTTTGGTAATGCTGGTATTTGAACTCAAGGCTTTACACTCGCTAGGCAGGACCTCTACCATGTGAGCTATGCCCAACCCAGCAAACCAGCCACACAGATGCACACTGCTGGGTCGCCCGCCTTCAGTGGTGAAGCCAGGGAGATAGGGTGCTGGGCCCAGGGATGAGGCTGAATGACTGTGAGGTTGGCAGGAGTCTTCCGGGGGGGGGGGGTGGAAATGTAATGGACGGAATGGTGGAACCCTAAAGATATGTCCTCATCCTAAACCCCTGGAACCTGCTCATGTGTCTATTTAGAAAAAGTTGGGGGGGGGGAGATGGGAAGGGATGGGAAAGGGAAACAAAGTAGGAAGCAAAAATGTTTGATAATGTACTCATTAACTTGCCCATGTAATTGTATAGTATTTTTACAATAAAAAAAACAAAACACTACACTAAAAAAAGTCTGCACTTATAATTAAGGATCTGTATATGTGTGTGTGCGCGCGTGCGCGTACATGCGTGCACACTGGGGCTGGGGCTTGAACTCAGGGTATGATCTCTTGGCTTTTTTTCTCAAGGCTGGTGCTCTACAAGGAGCCACAGCTCAGTCCAGCTTTTTGGAGGTTAGTTGGGTGATAAAGAGTCTCACAGACCTTTCTGCTCAGGCTGGCTTCAAATGCCAATTCTCAGATCTCAGCCTCCTGACTAAGGTAAGATCACAGGTATGAGCCTCTCTGGTGGACCCTACCTTCGGAGACAGTGTTCTCACAAGAGACAGAAGAGAAGGCCACATGGATTCCGAGGTAGAGCCAGAAGGACCGGCACCAGCAAAGCTGGAGAAGGGAGTACGGCCCCTGACCACACCTAAACCGGAGCCGAAAACCCAGGCCAGTGCTGGGCTGTCACTTTCTTTGGGGTAAGAAGGAACATGGGAGGTGAACATACCTGGGGCCCAGGCCAGGCCGCACAGATGCAGACAGAGGGGCGTCCACAGGAGACAGGGGTGTGGCGGTGGAACCCACCAACAAGCAGGCCCCTAAGAAGTACCACTGAAGACCACCTTGGGGAGGCCAGGAAAGGATGTGCCACGGATCACAAGGCCCGGAACAAACAGCTGAGGCTGAAGCACAGCTGCACTGGCCCCAGCTACAGAATCAAATTCTCCACCGTGGAGGGAGGCTGCTACTACACAGCTATGCCACCGACTAACGGAGGAGCGGGCGCTGGTGGGCCATTCCACTCAGGTCCCAGGAGAAGGAACTGCGGCCACCGACTAACGGAGGAGCGGGCGCTGGTGGGCCATTCCACTCAGGTCCCAGGAGAAGGAACTGCGGCCCAGTCAAGGGGGAGATAGGATGGCTTGAATCCATCCTTTTTCCTCTGTCTCAGAAGATCTGGGAAGTCCAGGCCATCCCCAGAAGTAAGGGTCCTGGGAGTGGCAGCCAGGTGACTGACTCAAGCCCTGGCTCCCTTCTGCTTTCCCAGGACCACCTGGGGGCTGGGGGAGGGCTGAACTGGGTGGGGGGTGAACACTGTGGGCCTCAGCTCAAGGGCATGAGCGCAGGATGACTCCACCGGCTGCGATGGTCCCAGGGGAGGCAGTCCCGGTCCGTAGGGATGGTGGGATGTTCGAAGGCTCAGGTGCGTCCTCATCCAGTGGATTCTGATGGGATCCATCCGCAGCCCGGGATGTGGGGGCAGAGAGCGGCGCTGGGGCGCACCGGCCACACCCAAGTCTGGCTCCTACTTCTCAGTCCCGGTGTGGGGTTGGGCCGCGGGGAGGGCGTGGTCTCGGTGGGCGTGGCCTTTGCAGGCCTGACCATCTCCGGCTAGGGCTGGGTGGGCGTGGCCGAGGTGGGCTTGCACCTCCCGGAGCTCGGCCCGCAGCTCGTCCAGCGCGGCCCGCGGCGCCGCCTCCCGCGCCTGCGCCTGCAGCGTCTCCAGCGCCAGCCCCAGGCGGCCCACCTCCACCCGCAGCGCCTCCCAGGCCGCCAGCCGCTCCTCCTCCTTGCGGTGCTGCTGCGTCTGCTGGCGCCAGTACTCCAGCACCAGGCAGCCGCCGCCCACCACGAAGATGGTGGCCTCGCCCAGCAGCTCGGCGCCCAGCTCGGCCGCCGCCTCCTCGTTCAGCGGTTTGATGGCCGTGCCGCGGAAGCCCATGATGCGCATCTTGGTCCGCATCTCCACCCAGTGGTACACTGCGGGGAGGGGGGGGAGACAGGGGTCAGCGCGCTGGGGGGGGGGGGCCTGCGGCAGGGCAGGGCACCGCGGCGCACGCCTGCTGTCCCAGCCGCTCAGCAGCTGAAATCTGGGAATCGCGGTTCAAAGCCAGCCCCGGGCAGGAAAACTCGTGAGACTCTTCTCTCCAGTTATCCAGCCAAAAGCCGGAAGTGAAGCTATGGCTCCAGTGGGAGGGCGACAGCCTGGACTATAAAAGACTCAGAGACAGCGCACGGGTCCGGACTACCATCCACCTGCTGTCCTCCCTGGCATCGCCGGAGACGACAGGAGTCCACCACTCTGCCCAGCCATTGAGCCTCCCAGCAGCCGGGAAGATAGGTGCCTGTCACTACACCCAACCAACTGGCCCAGGTGCAGTCAAGAATGTTTCTGCTCAGCCGGCCTTGAACTGCAATACCCCGTCTCTGCTTTCCAAGTAGTTGCAATTACAGGCTTGAGTCACCAGGTAGACTTCTCACCCAGCACTGTTTGGGGGAACTGCTTCTCTCTCTAATAGGCTTCCTCCCTCAGGTAGCCAGACTGAAAGTAGTAAACTCCTTAACAAAAGATCATTTGTAGAGATAATGACAACGTATCAGATGAAAAGTATAATTATCAGTTAATAAGTTATCACCCTAGAAAACACAGCTTCCAGCCAGTCCCTGCCCTGGCTGCCTTCCCTGGATATATTTTATTCCATTCAGTTTAAAGCTCACCCTAAAGTTGGACACAGTAGAGCATACCTGTAGTCCCGGCACTCAAGAGGCTGAAACAGGGCAGGCCCTGGTGGCTTATGCATGTCATCCTAGCTACTCAGGAGGCTGAGATCTGAGGATCGTGATTCAAAGCCAGCCTGGGCAGGAAAGTCCATGAGACTTATTTCCAATGAACCACCAGAAAACCAGAAGTAGAGCTGTGGCTCAAAGTGGTAGAGTGCTAGTCTGGAGCAGAAAAGCTCAGGGACAGCACCCAGGCCATGAGTTCAAGCCCCATAACTGACAGAAAAAAAAATTTTTTTAAAGCTGAAACAGGAGGATTATGAGCTCAAGGCCAGCCTGGCTACATACGTAGGCTCTGTCTCAAAACAAAACAACAACAACCAAAAACACAACAAAGAAAACCCACGTCACCCTAAGGGTGATAACTGGATTGTGTGACCCCACAGCCAGCAGAGTGGCAGCTGCCAGTCTCTAGTGGGATGCTGCCTGCCAGCATCTGAGAATCTTGTGTCCCTGTGCCTGGTCCAAAGGGTCCAGGAGGGGTTAGCCCCGCCCCTTGGCCTGGCCAATTAGAGCAGTGCATTCTCTGGGCCACAGTGATTGAGGGTTGGGGGGGTGAACCAGGCTGAGCCTCTAAGAATCAGCTCTAGAATTGTGGGAATGGCTGGGAGGAGGCATGTCTGGGGTTGCTAGGCTAGACCCTCAAAGAGAGCAATAGAAAGCTGTGAAACTTGAGTTTCACTGGCTGTTATACTACCCTTCCTAGCAAAAGGCTGGGCTGAAGGCGTGGCTCAAGTGGTAGAAAGCCAGATATGCAAGCAAACTGAGTAAGGGCAAGGCCCCAAATTCAAACCCAGGTACCCACAAACCAACCAATGAATGTCGGGCCTGGGCCTGTACCACACTGCACTGCTTCCTGTCAGCTTATCAACACCATCTCACCAGGCTGACCTCCCCTGCCACTGCAGGGCACCCTGGGGCTCAAGAGCTGGTCGTGGGCAGTGAGGGGCAGATGGGGGGGGGCTTCTTGAAAGAATTTTCTCCTTGAGAAGAGTCTCTCACCTGTGTCCCCCACCAAACACCACCTTCTTGCCCCCTCAAGTATCCAAGCATGCTTAGCGCCAACCTGTCTGAATGCCACCTGTGAGCCAGCCACCAAACCAACCCCACCAGCCCTTGGTGGGACCCCCAGCCATGGGTCTGCCTTCGTGTCAGATTAGGATTTGCTGACTGGTTTTCACTGAATAGGGGTGGGAAGGAACACAGAGCCTCTGCGGGCTCCACTAGCAGGGTGCCGGGCGCCCTCTCCTGAACACTCTGGGTATGGCATCCAGGACACATCTTTACAGACATTCCCAGGTTGCAAGCTAAGCCGGAGGGCTTCTGTTCTCCTCCATGCCAAGGATGGAACCCCAGGTCTTGCACGTGCTAGCGAAGAGGCTAGAGAGAGCCATGCCCCAGTGCTTTTTTGTCACAGCACTTCTAGCAGAGCCGGGCCTTCCACTGAAGATCCTCTTGCCTCAGCCGCATGAGTAGCTGGGATTTGGGTCACCGGACCACAGAAAAAACTTAGAAACTCAAGGCCAAGGGCTGGGAAGGTGGCTCAGTGGTAGAGTGCTTGCCTTGCATGCCTGAGGCCCTGGGTTCGATTCCTCAGCACCACATAAGCAAAAAGAAAAAAGCCGGAAATGGCGCTGTGGCTCAAGTGGTAGAGCACTAGCCTTGAGCTGAAGAGCTGAGGGACAGCACCCAGGCCCAGAGTTCAGGCCCCACGACCAGACCAAAAAAAAAAAAAAAAAACTCAAGGCCAAACCCCAACTAAGGCCTATGCAGAATGCCCAGTGGGTGGGAAGACCATTAATGCAAATACGGGAAAGTATTTGTCCTATGAGCAAAGAAGCATGAAAAACACCCATCTGTAGTTTTAAAATTATTGTTAACATTCCTTTTCTTTTCTTTCATTTTTTTTTTTGCCAGTCCTGGAGCTTGAAATCAGGGCCTGGGCACTGTCCTTAAGCCTCTCGGTGCTCAAGGCTAGTGCTCTACCACTTGAGCTCCAGCACCATGTCCGGCTTTTTCTGTGTATGTGGTACTGAGGAATCGAACCCAGGGCCTCATGCATGCTAGGCAAGCACTCTACCGCTAAGGCACCTTCCCAGCCCCATTCCCTTTCATTCCTGAGTCTGTGGTTACAATACAGCCCTATGGTAGATGATGGAAATGACTATGAATGCACACAGGCATGGGAAGAGACCGCCCTGAACATCTTGAGAATACAGATGTCTGAAATCACCAGCAACAGCCTGGCTGTCACACCCCACAACCGACGTGCCACTCTGGACATTATAAATAGATTCCCAGGAAGTCCACTCTGGACCCCAAAGCCACTTACCCCTCTGCCCCGCCCCCTATGGGCTACCTGCCGCTGGCCATCCCCGTGGGGCTGAACTTAACTAGATGTTTGGCCTCTCTTTCTCTGTTTTGTGGAGGGACACAGCCAGCAACAGCACAGCAGGAACTGGAGGGTGGGAACTAGAGGAGGAAGCAGTCTTGGCCTCCAGCAGCGATGGCATGGGAGAAGAGGCTCTGTGGTATCTTCCTAGCCAGGACTAAGAACCAGAACTAAGAATCTGTGCTCTGAGTCAGGTCCTTCATACCCACAGCCTCATTCTGTGCCCACCCACATCTGGTCAATGTAGAAAAGGAGCTTGAGGGACAGTAAGCTACTGGACATGATCACACAAGTAGGAAGTGGAGGTGCCCAGGTCTAAACCCAAGAGTCTACTCTGCTAGGCAGTCTTCAGTGGCCAGGGTCAGGGTCTGTGTCAGAAGCTGCTCAGATTGTCAGCACCAGACTTGGGGGGGGGGGAGCAGGAAGGGGACATCAGCATCCCTGCTAGAGAGACTGACTGAAGAGGAAAGAGGGAGCCAACCCAGGGTCCCAACATGCAGGTGAGCCTCCTGAGGACTCCAGATGGGGTGTGGCTCAAGGGTAAAGCATGGCCCTACTATGGGCAAATCAATGGCTTCATTCCATCCCCAGCACCTACTCCCCCCAAAAGCACAGAATATATACATAAGACAGGTATTTATAAAGGCTCAGTGGCATAAGGACTGGGAAATAAAACCCCTGTTATGAAATGCCCAGTGGACAGTGCCTAATGATGTCATACCCACTACACAGAAGAGGACACTGAGGCTGAGAAGGACTAAAGGCTCTGCTCAAAGTCACTAGCCTGAGAAACCATGTCAGAATGACTCCACATGCCATCTTCCCCACAGCCCTCCAGGTCGTGGGGCTTGAACTCTGGGCCTGGGCACTGTCCCTGAGCTCTTCAGCCCAAGGTGAGTGTGCTACTACTTGAGCCACAGCTACACTTCTCGTTTTCTGGTGGCTAATTGGAGATGAGTCTCACAGACTTTCCTACTGGGCCTGGCTTTGAACTGATCCTCAGATCTCAGCCTTCTGAGTAGCTAGGATTACAGGCATGAGCCAGTGGCGCCCAGCACAAGCTATCTTTTTGGGGGGAGGAGGGTGCTGGTTTAGAACTTCAACTCAAGGCCTGGACACTATCCCTTAGCTTTCTTACTCAAGGCTGGCACTCAACCACAGCTTCACTTCTGGCTTTTTTGGTGATTAACTGGAGATGAGAGTCTTGTGGACTTTCCTGCCCTGACTGGCTTTGATCCATGATCCTCAGATCTCAGCCTCCTGAGGAGTTAGGATTACAGTCATGACCACTGGTGCCCAGCTTTCACAAACCATAACAGGAAGACAAGTCACAATATTTGGGGGAAAGGTAGAAGCAGGAAGCAATCAAGTCTAGAGTCTAGAGTTCAAGCCCCACCTCTGGCACAGTCCACCCGTGTGAGGGCAGCAATCCTTCTCATCCCCAAGACCTCAGTCATTCCTTTTATAAATGTCAGGAAGTCACCTCTCTAACCTGGCCAACACCAGAAGGTGATGACAACTGATATGAAACACATTCTGTGACTCACAAACCCTAACCCTTTCCTATTCTGGATTTCAGGCCCAGGCAGAAAGACAAAAACCAAAGGACAAAGATGTCTTGGCATTTGCACATGCACCTTCCTCTGCCTCAACACTGTCCCTGTTGTCTGGGGGTGGGGGGGGTGATACCCTTCAGGTCCCACTCCTACATCTCCTCTGCCTGAAAGTCCTTCCTGACAGCACTGTCCACCAGTGAACAGCTGACAGAAGTAATGGGTGGGTGGATGTGGTGGCTTGCTACCCCCAGAAGTTATATTCACTTATCTCTTATTCCCAGAGCACGCGGATCATCTTTTGATAGTAGCTCATCGTTTGGGCGTTGGCTATGCCCTTCAGATCTCGGCTCAGACAGACCCTTCTGGGGGGGGGGGGTCCCATGCCTGGGGCCCGCGGGCTCCTCTGAGCTCCAGTGCACGCTGGGATGGGGCTGATTGATCTAGAATATGTATCTGCCAGGTGTCCACCTGTATAGGTGGTCTACTGAATGAATGCACTGCGTCTGAACTTATTAACAAATATACGGGTAAACTTGCCAGATTTTTGAAGACACGCCCCCAGACCCCAAACTTCACCCTCAACTCACGCCTGGCGTAAAACTAGGGCACCCGTGTATTCTAAGTGCATGACATACAAGCACATCCCATGACAAGCGGGAAATTGAGGAACGGGTGGCTTTGGGGGCCAAGGATGGCTCGGCAAAGCACCCCAGTTGGGTTTCTCCCCTAGTCCCGCCTATGGCTCCTTTCTGTTCTGGAAAGGCCCGCCCAAATTGAGCCGGTTTCCCCAACTATTGGCTCGTCTAGACGTCAGTCTCCACACACTCTCTTCTCCTATTGGCTGGCGTTTACAACGCGCGTGCTAATGTCTTGTCCCGCCCCTTGCCCCAAGCCCGCCTTCACTATTGGGTTACACAGACGCCTTTCTCCCAGAGGCCCTCCCTTATTGGCCGCAGGACTTTGCCGGTTCAGGCTGTGATTGGTCACAGGTAGAAGTCCATCCCCTAAGTAACCACCTGAAACGGGTTGGAGAATGGGAAGGTTGGAGGGACGTGGGGTCACTCACGCTGAGCCGGCGGAAGGCAGATGTAGGTCTTGAAGAACTCGCTGCGGCGAGCGGCCGCCTTAATTCGGTTGGCAAGCGGCTTACTGACCTGCCGGATGCCCAAGTAGAGCAGCTTCGCCATCGGGAACGCGCCCACCACCATCTTGGCGGTCGCACGGAGCACGCGCAACCTAGCTGGCGGGGCGGGGCGGCTCCGACCTCTCCACTCTTCCCCCGCCCGCGGGAGGGCCGTGCGTGCCCACGTACCTGCGTGCGTACGTACGCTCCTGGAGGGAAAGGGTAACTGCAGGGGCGCCCCCTGACGTCACCGCGTCGACGCCGACGTCCCTGCGTCCGTGCGCTAAATATGCAAATATACGGCGGAAGTGAGGCGATCAGTGGGCGGTGCCGTTAAACGGCCGCTCGCTCACGGGAGCGGGTAATGGATTCCCCCTTCCCGCCTCGGCTGACGCCACCGCGCTGCTGTGTGATGTCAAGCGCTGAGTCGGTTTCCCCGCCCAAAGGAGGTTTCTTGATAGTCCTAATTAGGTTTAATGAGTCCCCAATAATCCATCTTCCAAAATTTAGAGCTCTCACGAGGATGAGAGAGGAAATGGGCCGTGTGTCACCCGGATCTTGGAATCCCAACTCCCCCTCCCCGTTTACGCGCTGTGTGACCCCAGGCCAGTGACTCAACCTCTCAGAGCATCAGTATTCCTGTTTCTAGTATTCCCGTTTCTAGCCTTACAGGGTTGTTGGCTTTATGTGAAAATATGACTTTTAAAACCTTTTTAAAAAATGAACTATACAACTTGTGGGTGGGAATTGACAGAACAGAGGCAGCTGAGAAAAGCCACTTCCTTATACACCACCTTCCCAATCATCCTTTGGGGGCATAGCCTGAAACTGCTCAAACTCGGAAAACAAAAGTTCCTGCTGACCCAGCCATATACAACCAACCTTACAGGAATGGGAGGAAAAAACTGGGAAGGGTGACATTGCCCAAAAAGGTATGTATAGCCGGGCCCAGTGGCTCACACCTGTCATCCTAGCTGTTCAGGAGACTGAGATCTGAGGATCGTGGTTCAAAGCCAGCCTGACTTTTTTTTGTCGGTCACGGGGCTTGAACTCTGGGCCTGGGCGCTGTCCCTCAGCTCTTCAGCTCAAGGCTAGCACTCGACCGCTTGAGCCACAGCGCCACTTCTGGTTTTTTGATGATTTATTGGAGATAAAGAGTCTCACGGACTTTCCTGCCCAGACTGGCTTTGAACCGTGATCCTCAGATCTCAGCCTCCCGAGTACCTAGGATGACAGGCGTGAGCCACCCATGCCAGGCTGTTTTTGTTTTTTTCTTTAAATGTGTGTGTTTGTGCGTGCGCGTACGCACGCACGTGTGTGTGTGTGTGTGTGTGTGTGTGTGTGTTGCTCTGGGATGGAAGCCAAGAGCAACACCCACACACACACACTTGTGTGTGCCTGCGGGGTGTGGCACATGTCCTCTGGGCCTGCAGAGATTGATGGCCCTGCCCCTGGGCTGATAGGCGTCCTCAGGCAACCCCACTTCCTCCTCTAGAGGGTGAGGGTCCCCAGGGAGCTGGCTCTGGAAGGACAAGTCCTGGGCTGTTGTCCCTTACCCAGCAGGGAGCAAAATCTTATAAACAAGGGCAGGCCTGGGCTGAAATTCCTGCTTGGTGGGGTGTGCGGTGGGTCGTTAGAAGGAGAGGCAGATGGACAGCTGGGCAGAGGAGGTGGGAGAAGGACTCCAGGGCTCTCCTCCACTGTCCCTAGGTATCTACTCTGACTCCCCCAGTGCCCTTCAGTAAGCACTAAGAGACCTGTGAGATGTCAGAAGTCCTCCCTGTAATGATGGTAGCTGGGCATGGTGCTGCACATCTGTAGTCCCAGCATTGGGGATACGGAAGCAGGAGGATTGGGAGTTCCTGGCTAGCTTGGGCTACACAGGGAGATCTACACATATGGGGTGTGTGTGCCCACACTTGTCTGAATTATGGCCATAGGAATCTCTTCCCAGAATCCCTTCTGAATGAGACATGAGAGAGCCTGGGTCTTGGGACCAGTCCTGTCTTCATTTGCCAACTGAGGCTGGAGGGAAGAAAGAGTTTGCCCAAAGTTCCAGAAAGAAGCAAGACAGAGCTGAGGCGGAACTCCAGGCCTGCCGCCGGCAGCCTCACAGCACAGTAGCTGCTCAGGTTTTTGGGTTTCTTTTTTCCTTTCTTTCATTATTGGGGTTTGAACCCAGGGCCTTGTGCATGGTCAGCAAACACTCTTAACACGTGAGCCCTATCCTCAGCCCTTTCATTCACCTGTTTGTTTTCAGGAGCTCCCTACCTTTCTCTGGGTTGATCTTGAACTTCAAGATCCTCCTGCCCCAGACTCTTGAGAATCTGGGATGAGCCATGCGGAGCACCACCATACCCAGTTTATGGGATTGAGATGAGGTCTTTAATTTGTCTTGTTTGTTTTCCCCCTTGGGCTGGAACTTCCATCCTCCCGTCTCAGCCTCTTGAGTAGCTGGGGTTTCAGGCATGGGTTACTGCACCCAGCCACCAATAGATGTTTCTTGACTGGTTGGGGAATGAGCATCTGATGGACATGTGCAGTGGCCAGGCTGCTCTGTGATAGCAGGGGGCTTGGGGACGGGAGGGGGGCGGTGTCTGTTCCGAAGCAGTTTTCTGGGGTGGACAAGTGGTAGGACTTCCCAGAACCCTCTCCTCCCTCCTCCCCCCATGCCATAAATGTTAGTCATTAAGTGCACTTTTCCATGCCCCTCTTCCCACTGCTTCCTTTGTCTTACAAGTGTTCCAGGAATCTCTTCTGAGAATGTGTGTGTGTGTGTGTGTGTGATCCATCTTCCTGTCTCAGCGGCTTGTTTATACACCTGTGAGCTCTTGGGAAAGGGCCAATGCATATGAATCCAGGTGTTTGGTAAGGGCATGGCAGTGCCCTCCTGTAATCCCGGCACTGGGGAGGCAGAAGCAGGAGGATGCCCAGGCTGCGAAGGTGGTAGAGCGCTTGCCACGCATGCACGAGGCCCTGGGTTTGATTCCTCAGCACCACCTAAGTAGAGAAAGCTGAAAGTGGTGCTGTGGCTCAAGTGGTAGAGCACTAGCCTTGAGCTGAAGAGCTGAGGGACAGCGCCCAGGCCCTGAATTCAAGTCCCATGACCAACAAAAAAAAAAAATACAAACACAAGAGCCGGGGGCATGGCTCAGATGGTCGATCGCCTGCCGGGCACATGGGAGACCTTGGTTTCCAGCTCCAGTATTGGGTGGGGAAAAAAAAAAACAACAGAACACAACCCTTAATGCTCCCTTCTGCTGTCCTTCCGGGTGATTGGACAGGGCAGTTTCTGCTGACCCGAGGCCAGGGAGGGAGGGGTCCCTCCAGCAGGGCAGGCTTCCCCAGCCCCCTTGGGGCGCGTGGGAATAGACAGATGGGGGGAGGGAGAGCTGGGGTGACCTTGGCACTGCGTCATCTACTGATGCTTGAGCTCTTGGTTCATTCCCAGAGGCCTTCTCTGCCCCCCCCATCTCCTTTTCCCAGAATGCCATCGCACAGTGCTACTGGCCTGCTCCCTGCTCTGTTCCCAACCCCTCACACCCATCCAGCCCCAACATCTGCAGCCAGCCCACCAGCCCCTGGCATCCACCAGTACCTCCCATCCATCCATCTGTCCATCTGTCTTCCACTAAACCCCCCCGCCCCAGGCCAGGTCATCAGGCAGATTTGTGTGACTCTGTACAGCCCGCTTGGAGCCCCCTCCTTCCAGTCCCGTCTCCCATCTTCGCCCTTCCGATTCTCCCTGTAATCCACTCCCACACAATTCACACACACACACTCTCTGACCCCAGGGCCTTTGCACTTGTGTCCTCTGCTCTGCCCAAATGCTTAGCCACAGAGCTGACTGCCTGGCCTCCTGCCACCTTTGGGTCTTGGCTCCTAAACCACCTCGGTGGTCCCTCCCCTGTCCCCTTTGTCTCCATCAGGCTCCATCTGTCCCCCTTAACTGCCTCAGTTTCTTTTCCTTGCTTTGGGGGGGGCAGGGGATAGTACTGGGGTTTAAATGGGCCCTGAGCTTGCTAGGCAAACACTTGAGTCATGCCTCCAGCCCTTGATTTTTACCTTTTAGAAGAACATTTGGCTCATTTCCTCAGCCCCTAGTGCAGGAGCTATGGTTCCCAAACGGCAGCAGGATCTAGGGGCTCATGAGGGCTCACTGTGTCCGCTAACACTGCCAGACCAGGAGGACAATAGTTTAAGTCAACTGTGAGAGCCAGATGCAGTGGTGCACTCTTGTCATCCCTACCCTCAAGAGGCAGAGGCTGGAGGATCAGGAGTTCCAAGCCATCCTGGAACCTCAAAAGAAAACAAAAAGCTGGGCACCCATGGCTCATGCCTGCCATCCTAGCTACCCAGGAGTCTGAGACCTGAGGATTACAGCTCAAAGCCAGCCCGGGCAGGAAAGTCCATCAGACTCTACTCAGAAAAAACTGGAAGTGGTGCTGTGGCTTAAGTGGTAGAGTGCTAGTTTTGAGCCAAAGAAGCTCAGGGAGAGTGTGTAGGCCTATATAGTTTAAGTCCCACGACAAAAAAAAAAAAAAAGCAAATTGGGTGGGCTGGGCTACTCACACCTGTAATCCTGGCTATTCAGAAAGTGTCCATTGGAAGGATCATAGTTTTTTTGGGGGGGTCTGGTCGTGGGGCCTGAACTCTGGGCCTGGGCGCTGTCCCTCAGCTCTTCAGCTCAAGGCTAGCGCTCTACCACTTGAGCCACAGTGCCACTTTGGCTTTTTTCTTTTTGCTTTTGTGGTGCTGAGGAATTGAACTGAGGGCCTCATGCATGCAAGGCAAGTGCTCTACCACTGAGCCACCTTCCCAGCCCCAGAAGAATCATAGTTGAAGGCCTGTCTGGGCAAAATATTTTTAAAAGACCCCATCTCAACAAATAAAAAGCTGAGCACAGTGAGTAAAGCTTCCCACCTCAGCTACAAGAATGGAATGGTTAACAGGAGGATCATGATCCAAACCAGCCAGGCACAAAACACCCTATTGGAAAAATGATGAATCTAAAAAGAACTAGAGGGTGGGAGGAGCTTCTGCATCAGAGAACTTGCAGCGGGACCTGTGCAGGCACCTGACCTCAAACCCCAGTACTGGTGAAAAAAGAAAAGAAAAAGAAAAGGTGAGTTTTTCAGGGGATTATGGGTGGAAGAGGAT